ACTGTAACTTTAAATTTAATTATAACTTCAATATTCGATTTTGTAAACCATCTGCTGAAGAGATGGTACTGATAACCAAAATCTAATTTACGAATTCCACAATACTAATCTGTAGAATATTTACACCAGCATTTTTCTATTTCCCTTCCTTAACATTCATCTAAATCATCATTTGTTTCGCTGTATTTCTATTTGTTTCGCTTCTCTGTTTTTGTTTCGAATTCAATGAAAAGATGAAACATTTCATGGTTTAATCTTTCTCTAGTTGGACATCTTAAAAAACAACACCAACAAAAATAATGACAACAAGGCTAAGACCTCTTACATCCAAACAATTTGTTTCCATTAAATTTAATGTCCTACAAGAAATGGTAGTCATCGGCCTACCACTTTGCTACCAAACGGCATTTCCCCGTTTGGAAGGGGAAACAGAAACAAAGGGCGTTAGCGGAGTTTTTTCTTAAGACACACATTTATCATTTAAGAGCGAAAAGTATATGTTCTGTTTGGCCATAATATTCGTTGCGACTGTTTCATACATGGAATTTTCTATTAGCATTATACGTTATGGCTCTGCGTATGGCAATAACTCCGCTTGGCGTTGGTTATCGCTGACAATTAAAATTGTCAAAACATTAAGGCATTCGTGTTGTTGTTGTATTTCAGCGGGAATGTTAATGCATTACAGGAACAAGCACTGACGTGTGTGACCGTCTAAACACATCGCCATAACATTCGCAATATTAATGGCAACAATTTTTTTTACGATGCTACCACAGCCTCCAAATGTGTATCTACCAGACAATTCGATAAATGGTAGGGGTTCCATTTTAAATCATCATAAATGTAATGCCAGAAAAATTGTTTTGTTTGCCCTAAAACATTGAATATTTTATTGGGAAACGTTAAGATTATCAGATCATACTTTTTGGCCATTAAAATTGTTTGTTAATGAACTTTTACGATGGCATTACATTTGTTTTTGGCGGGAACATCAATAATTATAAAGGGGGTTAAATAAAATTGTCTTAATTCACAAATGAGGAGAAAGAAGACAATTAGACATTAGAACTTATGGTAGAATTATTTACAGTCAAGGCATATGCAGAACGGATCCGTTATGCTTTCCGTCGCGTTATGTGTCATCGAAAATGCAACATCCACAAGGAAACGATGACATTGATGTGCGTTTCACTTCGGAGTTAAATATATTTTAATTTTTGCGTGCGTTAAAGCGATAAGGAAAAACGCATAAAGCGATCATTGTGCGAAGACCTTCAGAGTCTCGTTTTGTAGTACTCCAATCAAACGCTTTCGAGAGAACTTGATCTCCTATTTTATTCAGGAAATTCTGCTTGAGAAACAAACTAGTTCAGAAAGAAGCAATAATTAAAATTGTAGTCTATTTATAAACCATTCAGAAACAGGGCGACTCAAAAAAAAGTTTATTTTAAATTTGCGCCTAAAAATAGGCTCCGAAATTATCCATGAAATTCAATAACAAAACATGTACCATAAACTGAGTAATGTGTGTTCTAGATATAATAAAGTTGTATAAAAAAAATAAATTTTTCAAAATTTAGAAGAAGAAACACTTAAAACTCCTAAAAATACGTTGAGATCAGTTTTAGATCACGAGATCAGTTTAAGAGACAGGCTGATTTATTAAAATGTTGTAATTAAAAGTATAGTCAATTTCTAAACCATACAAGAACAGGGTGACACACAAAAAAGCATTGAATTGAGCTTTGCGCCTAGAAATATGCTCCAGAATTTATGTAAAAATATTTGAATGCAGGGTGGTTTTCGGGCCCTTTTGATAAATTGTTTTCTAAACTCGCACACGCCCTGCTGTTTCTGATCGCCTGGTATTTCACAAAAAATGAGCCACACAAATTGACATTTTCGATTTCATCAAATTTTAAAATCACATGTACAGGGTGTGTATACATGTGTTAGTGACGACTGTGGAACAGGGCATTACGGCTTTGTGCAACATGAAAAAGGAAGCGATAAGCCACTTCTTATGGACATGTATGTCCTTCTAATTTATATTTTTTTGAAATAAGGTAGATTACAAAATGTTTCGCTCCCTCCCCCTAACTAACCTTTGAAATAAAACACATTTTGGAGGAATATTTATTTTTTTTATAATTATTTTTATTTCTTTATTTTTTTCCACCTTTTTCAGTCTTTGTATAAGAAATAACATTTTATTTTTGTTTAATTTTATTTGTGTTGTTGTTCTTGTTTTTTTTTTAATTTAATTATAATTTATAATAATATTTTTCTTTTTTGTTGTTGTTTATTTATTTATTTATTACTAATTAAATACAATTGGTTGTTTGTGTATTTTTTTTCTTAGAAATTTTACAATATTTTCTTCTATTTACTATGGGATTTAAATTTTAAATTTAAAGTTAGTTTTATTTCAAATATTGCAGAATTTGTTTTGTTGTTGTTTTTTTATTTATTTATTAAGTATGTATAATGAAAATTGTATTTATATTTATTTGTATCTTAGTGTTAATTTCTTTATGAGTTTTCTGTATATAGTAATAATAATAATGATGATGAATCATGAATAATTTGCATTTTCGACAGTAAAAAAGGCCATATCAAAATAAAGAAATTCAAAAAGAATTCTGTTAGTTAATAATAATAGTATGACATTGTTATAAATTCATAGATTTTGAGATTTTTATATTTTAGGGGAAATAAATTTGGGTGGGTAAACTTCCCATTTGTTTGTTTGTTATTCGTATAAATATTATAATAAAATCAACATGTTTTTTTTCTCAAAATAGGTATTATTACAAAATTGCTAAATCAAAATCAAATAAAGTTATAGTTTTTTTTGTTCATTTACATTATTTATTTATATAAAAAATAAACATATTTAAAATTAAATTTAATAAAATATTTACATTGAGATTACACAGTGCTACAAGTACTCAATATTTCTTTTAAAAACATTAAAAATGCCTGGATCATTTGACAAGTATTTTCTTGATTGTAGCACAGTGTTATATATAGACTAATAATTTGTTTTTATTTTGTTTAGAATATTTACAGAATATATATGGTTTCATACGTTTTCTTTTAATATTGTCACTTTTTTGTTTTATGTTTTTTGTATATCAAAAATTAAGAGTAACCTTAAATTAAAAAAATAAGACATATAAATTGTTATTAATATTAAAATTGAAAAAAAAAACATAAATTGAGACAGCAAACAGACAGAAAACAAAACAGAGGTATTTTTGTTTTACTTTACAAAGCAAAAAACCAGGAACTTCTTTAGTTTCATTTGTGGGTTATAATCATTTAAAATACAAGTACATACAAGTGGAAACTAATTACACAACATTCGAAAGGAGACACAAAAAATTAAAATACCAAAGAAAATTGTGAAATTCATGCTTTTTTTGTACAGACTGTTTCAAAATGTCGAATGCATAGAAATGAAAACAATACGAAATATGATTTGAAAATAATTTCACTAATTGCCTTGTTTTACGAATCGACATTCTGAAATAGGCTCCTTAATTAAATTTTGATTTATTTTTCCTTGTTTCCATGAACTCTATGTATACGTTTTTGTTTTTGTAATTTAGTTGTTATATAGTTACTATGTACAAATTTATTTCTCGTTTTGGTATATGACCTTCTGTCTACAGATGGTTATGTTGTTGTTTGAATTTTATTTTCCATTTTTTTTGGCCAACAAAACAAAAATAAATCGAAAAATGAAAAGTGTTAACACTTTGATACAGAATTTTGCCTTACAAATCTACATCCAAAAAAAAAAAAAATATCTGGGCTTTATATTTAGTATTCATTTTGTAGCATGTTTTACCTTAGTTTCAATTTAAATTTTTAATTTATGGTGTTACGAATTCTAAGTATTTGATTGGTTTTCTATATATATAAATAATTTTTTTTTTAGTTTGTTTTTATGTCATATTGAAAAAATTGAACAAAAATATGCTGCTTGTATGTGTTTTGTTTTTTTTTTTTTTAATAAATATTTTTTAATTAAATTTTATATAATCCCTTGTTTCATTTTGCATGTTATGTTATCCATTTGTTGTTTTCACTTTTATATATAGTTTTGGTTTTTTCTTCTTCTTCTTCGTTTTGCTAATATTTTCTTGTATAGTACTTTGCGTTATGAATGCATAATGCATGCATTTTTGTGGTATTCCAAAATGTTGTTTTGTTTTTCTTCCACTCCAAAAGAGGAAAAAGAGTAAAGGCAGGCAAAAAATTAAAATTTGTTGGCAAAGGTTATGGAATTTAACATATTATGTTGAAATGTGATTTTGACAAGTTTTAAAGGTAGAGAAATTAAAAAAACATAAACATTGGCATTTAAACTTTTAAATTCTGCATAGAATTTTGTAAGAAAAAAAGTGTTTTTAGTTGATACTTAAATGCTTTCTGAATCGAAATTTGTATTGGAATATTGAAATCTATCTTCGACTCAATATATCCAATACCGAAACAATTAAGTATGATATTCATTTTGATATATGAATATTAGGGTTTAAGTACTTTAGCCCTGATGTCCTAAAATATATATTTGAGCTTTTGAATTTCCACGAAAACATGACCTCAAAGAAAATGAATCTTATTTGAAAGTTCGGGAATTTGTCCTCTTTTCCATTTCTTTGTTCAACTAACACAAATTAATACCACTTGTCATCATGCTAAATTAGTTCCCTGTTTCGCCAAGTTAGTTTTTCCATTTTTATACTTATTGTTATTTTCTTTTAAATAATTATTTTTTAGTTTTGTTTTCCTAATGTTCGGCTAATGTTTCTTTGCTTTTAGTTCGACTTTAAATGGGCTTTTGTTTTGAACATTTCTTTTTGATCCTCCTTCGATTTTTTGTTTTTGGGTTTATCATTTAATTGTTTGTTTTCCACTTTGTTGTTGTTGTTGTTTCTGTTATTATACGAATAAGAGAGTTTAGACTAATTTAATATAACTACACATAGTATTATCGTAATTATTATTTAAACAATTGCTTAATGCCACAGTATCACTAGATGATGCACAAGATCGCTCGCTATCGATTATCATCTTTTCTCTACCATTGTATCATACATAAACTATATGGGGTTTGTTGTTAAGAGTACCACCACCAACACCGCCAACAACACTACTTGTACTACCTACACCCATGCTACTCATGCCACTGCTGCTCATGGTACCAGTGCCACCGGCATAGCCATGAATACCAACGCCGCCACCAACACCACCACCGGTAGAGGATAATGTAGTTGAGCCCATCATTAGTTTACCATTTGAGGATTTGGACATGGAGTGGGCATCCGGATAGTCGTAATGATCGAATTTTTCGTAGAGATGTTCTGGCTCATCAGTATAGGTATTGGAATCCTTAACAGGTGGCAATTCCCAGGGTTTCAGGGCCCGGTACTCGTTGGCTATTGCCTGGGCTGTCAAATATCTCTCCAACTCCAATTTGTCCACCTGCGGCATAGTCTGATGATAGTCCTGATGATGCATGGGATGCATATTGTGATTGAGCGTCGTCCTCTGGGGCTGCATTGTGTGATGTGGATAGCCACCATTCATTAGGGTTCCGGCGATACCACCATTTGAAGCTGCACTCAGTGGCTGATGTGGCAATATCCGATCATGGACATTGACAATTGATTTGCCGGAACGCAGGGAGCGATCGTGCATAAGCTTTCGGCGGCGTTTAACAAATCGCATATAGAAAACGATGCTGGCTCCTGTCATGACCACCAAGAGGCATGTTAACACAGCACACACAATTGTCACCACATGTGCGGGGCAGGTTATTTCACTTTCTGTCATGGCAGCTAAATGTTTGCGTGTTCTCTTGTTGTCATGCCACACTTCACAGCCAATGCGTTCGGCATCTAATTTTAGATAACCGCTACTTGAGGCTACCGATGGGTTTGTATTTTGGAATTTAGCTGTGACATCCTTTTTGCGTTCGGCCACATAGGCTGCGACACGTATCAGGTTATCATCTTCACCATCGGCATTTGGTTCAGAGCCTAAAGCTGCCACCGAACCGGCATCATGATGTCCCATCATATTGCCCGGTTTCATGTCCTGACCTTGTATACCATTTTCGAAGTTGCCAGTTACCAAACGCCACAGCCAAAAGAGTGTACAGTTACATTGCAAGGGGTTATCGCCCAGATAGAGTTTTTCCAACTGATCGATTGGAAATTGAGCTGCATAAAGGGTCTGAAGGCTGTTCGCTTGCATATAGACTTCAACGATATTGGGATTACCTTGGAACAGGCGCATAGGTAAATCGCTGAGCAGGGGATTATTGTTCAGATGGAGAATTTGCAAATGAGTATTGTCCACAAAGGCTCTGAAATTAAAGGGAGGGAAAAAGAGACAGAGGTTAATTCAAAATGCTGTATTATGGGAAAGTTATGGGTATAATATTTTTTAATTAAATATATTCCTATATAAGATGATTGAAAGTCTACTTGGAGAAAATATTGAAGTAGAATTGTGTTTGTTTGTTTTGTGGTAATCAAACAATTTTATAAATATAATTTTATTCAATCATTTTTTAAAATTTATCAAACATCAACACATTAATTTTCAATGGAAAGTATTAAAAATGTATGCGTTCTACATTAATTCTAATTCCTTTCTTTCCGATTAAAAACCATATTTCCTATCTTCACAAAACGTTAGAAACCTTCCCATGTTTTCTTTTTTACTCATTCTGCATTCGCCACCCCATCCACCAGCAACCATTTAATAGCCCAATGACTATAATCAGTATTCCTGGTAAATAACCTGAAAAGCTATCCCTTGACTCCATGTTAATATTCCCAAGGATAATCTGATCGATGTATTGACTTTGTGCCTTAAAAGCGCCCTTCTAGTGTCTCCTTTTAACTTTTCCCACCAGTATTACGATGATGTAGATATTTATTTGCACAAATGTAAATCAAGCATACAAATGGGATCCCCCTACAACAACAACAAAAAACAGGCGCTACAATTTAACAAATGAGGAATCCTTCAATGCAAATGGAAATGTTCCTATAGAACGGTAGACGGTGGAATGCCAGCCACCAAAGGGAGTCCCTTTGTGAAATTGTACTTTAACACTTCGGCGAGCAAAGCAAACCAACCGAAATCGGAAGACCGTGCGAGGGTGAGCGGGGGTTATGAATGTTCGTTCATTCGTTCGAGACATGAAACAAAACGACCAGGTATAGGTTTACACATGATTTTGCAACATGTGGAAGAGGAGCAAATGGGAGACTAAAACAAAAAAGGGAAGCAGAAAAGGTCGTTGGCTGGATACCCCTGAATAACAGGGTGAAACGGATACTTGTAGTACTTACAGAAAATGGAGAGGGGTTACACAAATGGCTCAAAGGATGTGGATAACATTAATTTAAATATGAGTTTCTTTTAAAACAGGGGATATATGATACGAACTCTTCACAGCCAACCAGCCAATGGAGTTAAGTAAAAGGATATTGGATCTGTGGTGGGTGGTAATGGTTAATGAGTGTTGCTTTGCTAAATGGCTTAAAACTGATACTTAACAATTAAAAAAGGATAAACATAGTTTATGGATGGAAGGAGCCAGGAATGTCATGTATTTCTAAAGTGGTATCAGATAACATCTAACAGTAATGTTCACCCTCATTTCGGTTCGCAACCCCTGTCCGCATAACCAATTTGACACCCTTTTAAAATTGTTTTCAATTAAACATTTTACAAATTGCCATCAATATTTACTTGTTGTAAGGCCAAAATTGAAAAAGAACATATTTGTTAAGTAAGAACAGAATATTGCTCATTTTCTCGGTAGTTTTTGGTGGAAATTGTGTTCGGCCTTGAGGAAAATTTAATGACTATTCAGGCAGGCAGGCAGAACGTGTTAAGCCTACGGAATGTGGAATGTTGAGTAATGTTAACAACATATTTTCCCATTTGTTATTTATCATAATTTATTGGAGTGTGTATGTGTGTGTGAGTGTGTGCGTGGCTATGTGTTTGGCACTTTAGTATTTGACATGTTTTTCCACAGAGCTCCTCGTATTAGATTTTTCCCCAAAACAACGGTCTGTCGTTTGGCTTGCGGCTCATCGCATAATAAACTTATTGGATTTTTCTGTCTTCTGGTGTTGTTCATATTTTTGTCATTTTTAATATAGCTGTCAGTTTTAACAAAATGAGCTCTTTATTAGATTAATATGACTGTCGCATGTCATAAAATGAAAAACAAATACATTCCAAACGAAAGAAAACGAACGAAGGAACAACTGACAATCTATTGGGTTGTTCAAATGAGATCTGAAGAGATTTTGTTTTTGTGTGTGAGTGAGTGTGTGTGTGTTGTGGGGGGTATTGTAAAAATACTTAAGGAAGGTTAATACGATATTTTTAGATTCCATGTGGGGTCAGATGGTGGATGTACGTGCTATTAATAATGTTAGGGTTTAATGTTTTGTGTTTTTAATTTAGTCAAGAAGAAGAGGAAGATGAAGAGATGATATTTTAAGAGAAATCGTAGGCACACGCATCTTAATTTAGTTTTGTAAACTAAATGTCCTTGGAAAAATGCAATTTTATCTTTATGGAGGTGTATTTTAAATTAAAAAGTAGATGTGTCACTTTCAAAATATTTTCAAATTAAAGGGATCTAAAAGTTTTGTTGACAATTTTATAATGAAATTGAGACATATTTAATTCTATCTATACCTACTGATTCCTTCATTTTTAATTGATAACTGAAGTTTTTTAATTTATTGGTCTTAAAATATTGGTCTTAAAATAATTGATCCTAAAATTATTGGTCTTAAAATATTAAAAATCTGATTTGCTTGAAAACTAATTTAGTTTAAAAATTGCATAATTAATTTCTTAACATGTTGTTGTTGTGGTTCCTTGCAAATTTAATGTTAATTTTATTTTCTACTTTATTTTGTTGCCATACAATTTTACCACATGAATGCCATTATGAATATAAATGACCATTGTGGCCTTGGTGCGTTTGTGTGTGTGTTTTTCCTGTTAATCGAAAACATTTGCATAATTTTCAATATAATAAAACACAAACATTAAACAGGTCAATAATAATCATAATATAGACTAAATAAAATATTAAGTATTCTTTGGTCGTATATCCTTTTTTATACAAAGGAAAAATACACAGGTAAACCGTGACTATAAAGACAACACATGGGTCATGTATGTACGAGTATTTGTAACGAATTGTTTGTTATTTTATGTGGAATAGAAGAAAAAATAGAAACTGAATAGGTTCTCACCACTGACAACATAAGCACACACACACACGCAAACACTCGAACATTCATTGAGCCTTAAAAGCTCTTTGGCAAATGAGCCTGGGAAAATATGCAGCAAGTGTTTATTTGTTTGTGTAATAATGACGATACCTTTGCCCAGAGATACATACAGACAGACAGGCAGACACCACCACCAGCTACAAATAGGCATAACATTACCAATGAAAATAAACATTAACGCTTGATGCAGCGCCCTTTACAAAGCCACGCTCACACACGCACTCATACAAGCTAAAGTGAATCATTGGAAAAGAACAAAAAAGCCCACAAACAGGATAACCTAATGGGCCAGAGGGGGGAGATCGAAGAGAGAGAGAGAGAGAAGGTGTGTGAAAAGAGTAAAACAGCAGAAACCGTATTAATGTTAATGATATCGTATCAACCGGATAATACCATAAAATGTATAACAGCACATAGCTCAATATATACATATAATTGTATTTGCATATGTATGCGAATGTGTGTGTGTGTGTGAGCAAGCAATTTAATGTTAGATAATAAGGATTTAATGCAAAACAAGAGAAACACAAACACACATACCCATACACGTTTAGAGTATCAGCTTGTCATTGCAAAGCTTAGCGCCGCATTGCCTGGTAATAGGCCCGGTAAGCGAGGAGTGCCATTAATACATAAATAATGTGAAAATTTTCAGTTTGAAATTAGCATAATTTCATTTTGAAATTACAGGGAATTTTAATGATTTTGTTTTTAAAATAAACCAGCATAACAATGGCACAGGGGCGTATTGGAAGACAGAGCCTTGAAAAATGGGGCATGAGGTATTTGTTTTATATAATCGATTGTTGATCGAGTATTATTGTTGATGTCGAACAGAGTTCCTTAGAAATGAATGCTAAGGAACTCAGAAATATCAGAAAATTTAACATAAGTCAAAATCTGATGCCTGGAGAGTTACGAACCTACATATGTAGTTACGTGTGGATTCTTTCTATAAGAAACCCTCTTATTGCGGAGCACATTCATTATCCGTATTTACATTGGTTTAGCCAAACAACAACCAGGCTCATATTAACTAAACGAAATTTAAAAACAACATTAATTGTAGGTAGTGAGTGGATGATAATGTATGAATACATTTTCTTATATGTGAATGTGTATCAATCAGGTAAAGGTATTATGAATATGAGTATACACTCAAAGAAAAATAAAAGATAAGAAAGATAGCAAAGTAAGACAATTTTCTATGGAAATCCTAGACTAATTTTCGAAGTGTGAAGAATATGACTTGAAATGTAATTAGAAAAATCTTTTTAAAAAAGTGAGAAAATATCAAATTTTTACTTTTATTTTTATTAAATTTTTTTCTTCGAGTGTATCATTATCCAGTCATGTAATTTAATATAACATATCGTTTTATATGCATTATTACCGACATAATGTTTATTTTAATGGTTGGATAATTTGAGAAAATACAGCGTTTCGAAACGCAACGAAAAAATCGTAAAAAAGGAAAAACATTTTCCAATTTACATTGTCATTAGCATTCATTAATGGATGGAAATTCGTAATAGTTTTTTAAGTGGATATTTTTTTTCATACTTAAATTTGTTCATAGTTGATTGGAGAAAAATTGCAAATGCATGGCTGATGGGGTGGTATACGAATATGTTTAACATCATGAATAAATCTCAAACTTACCTCGAATCAATGCGTTGCAGAAAATCCAAACGATTCAAATGCAATTCACGTAAATGAAACAAATTTAGGAAAGCCACAGCCGGTAGATTGGTAAAACGATTTCCGCTCAAAGTCAGATGTGTTAAATTGGAGAGTTTCGAAAGTTGTTGGGTGGGTACCATCTAAAAAAATGAAAAAAAAGAAATGAAATTTAATTAATACGATTTCAAGGTTGAAGATTGTAAATAAAAGCGAACAAAATATTTTAATTACACATTTTATAAGCAATTAAATCTTGAGTACAATTTATAAAAAAATAAAAAACAATAAATATATACGATTAAATAGTCTTCTTAGAGATGTTTGGGGTACTGTATGGTATTTTTAACTTGTTGTTCAAATTTTTTTTTTCCTTCTTAGACATATTTCGAAACAAAACCTATTTTCAAGTTCAAGTTTATTGCCGTCAACAGAATAATTGTATGTCCCTCAAAATCTAAATGACTTCAACCTTTATTACGTTTTGGGGGACTTTCTTTGTTGTCTTCTTCTATTCAGTGTTTCATTCCATTTTCCAATTTCTCAAATTTCATTTTCAAATATTATTCAACGGCACGTATTGTTTATGGCGTTATCGCGATCCAGTGGCACGTTTTTTAGCTACAAATTTTTCATAGTCGTCTAAGGGTTTTGTGTGCTACAACAACTACCACTTCCTGCTCCTTAGACTAACCTTATTTTGGTAGTAAATTTATATGTTGAAAAAGGCAAAAAACACAAAAACGAAAGCAAAGCCAGGATAAAAGCTTTCTCAGGTGGCTGTTTAGGGTATAGTAAATCCAAATAGACAAAAAGCCAGTCAGCCAGCCAGCCAGCGAAAGAAAGAAGTGTTGGATGGTGTAGTTTTTCCTACCATTCCGCCAGTTACAGTTATGTGGTGCTATAAAGGTTTTTATAGCTAAATAGTTTCGGTTTGTTTGTTTTGTTAAGTTGGAACTGACGGCAACAACAAATTTGCTTTAAAAAGATTGATTTTATTAGCAAACACCAGACGTTTTTCTTGCTGCCTAAAGAGACGAAGGTGTATATATCTCCAGAGTATTGTTATTACTGTTAGCAAGTATTGCTTAGTAGTTGGTTAAAGGAAACACCTAACATACATTTCCGTTTCCGTTACACTCACACCAACAAATAAAATTGGCGTTTTTTGGCCATATCTCAAGTTGTAAAATATTATTAAGTACAATACAATATTTTACGGTCACTAGGACGGAGGACTTTCTCAATGGTTAGCCAATGGTTTGGTCAGGGATTTCGTATATTTTTTATTTTGTTACGTGGTCGTTGTGGTGCTGGCGGCGGTGGTGGTGTTGGCAGTCGTGTGTTTTTGTATAGTCCGCTTGCTGTTGAGGGGTTTTTTTGTTTTTGACAAGCAACATTTTTCTGTGGTTGTAAAAAGGTCACGTTTTTCAGGGCGCTATGGAATGTCAGCTAACAAAATAATCAACAACAAAGTTTCCCTTTTTAAACACGTCGTATTTTTTCGAAAGAATTTTTTTTCTACTTTTTTCTCTTTCTCTCTCTCCCAAACATCATATTTCATTGTTGGCAAAGTCATTTACAGTTATTTCTGGTTGACTAACTCCCTTGAAAAAAGAAAAATAATAACACAGAAGGGGTTTATTAAGTTTAACTAAATTATATTTAATCACTTCATCAACAAAAGTAATGAAAAGTGTTAAAAGGATTGCAAAATATGTAGTATTTTTTATTGTGAAGAGTAAAAATTTCAACACAAGGGTAAACTAGAAAAATTTGAATTGAAATAAAAACTAACATAAAATAAGTTAAGTGAAGGGCCTTAAAGGGAGTTCAATTGAAAAAAAAAAATAATAAAGTGGAATAGCATCCAATTGGGTGCTAGTTAAAATTTGAAATATATTTCCTTTCTATTTGGTTTTCAAAGAGCGATTTTCCTACTGATATTGGTCCCACAGACAAACAAAATCATTCATTATAAGCAATACAAAATAATTCTCTCTCGCTTTTAGTTCAATTTCGAAGCTTAATCTTTATTTATTTCCAAATTGATGCAAATATATTCATTTTATATTTTTCCTCTCTTCTCTCTAAAAAATAACTAATATTTATTTCAATTTGAAGTCAAATTTTCAACAATATACTATCAGAGAAAAAAGATACAAATTCTGAACTTCGGTATACATTTAATTTCAATTTCCATTGGGGGTATATTCTACGCAAATTGCAATGCAAACTTAATTGGAGCATAAATAACTCTATACATTCAATAAATGAATTATTGCATATTTCAAAAAAATACAAAACAAAAAGGAAGGAAACGAGACAGAGAGGCGGAGGGAGGGAGATGAAGCCGAGTTAAAAGCAAAACTGAAAATGAATTTCATTCACAAATATAGGAATCTTTTTAGTAAATATGCATGAACACACTCACTCACACACATACATATGTATGCATGCATCTGTGGGTAGTTCTATCGTTATAATAGTTTTATACCAGAGCAAATGGTATATTTGTACATCACACTAGCTAGCTGTTCATAACCACACATACATACATACGCATTTCATATTTTCCTGAGGAATTTATTTAGTTTTTTTTTTGTTGATGTGCAAAACTAGAACACAATTTTTAAAATAAAATTCTTTCTGAATGATATATATTTGTTTCTTTCTGACCTCATTCCTCTCCTTTGATATATTTAAAGACCACAAAACAATAAGTGAAGTCCTTTTGAGAGAAAGAAATTTAATAAAGTCCTATTTGTTGTTCTAGGTTGGAGTCTTGTAGTTGTTGCTGTTGTTGTTGTGGTAGATGAAGTGTTGAAAGAAGTATTAAATAAAAGGATACACACAATACAAAGTGTTAAAATTGTTACTTAAACAAAATTTCAATATTCATTTTTGAGTGAGGTTTCTGAAATAAAATTTTGGGTATGCGGTTTCTTTTTGTCATTCGTTTCTTTTTTTTACAAATATGAATACCACAAAGGAAATTTGTTATATTTTAAATATGAACGATGCAAATGGGTAATAGGCGAATTTTAAAATGCCTTATGTGGGAAATTGAAAGACTTTTAAGTAAAATGACTCTATTTCGTGTACTTGGCTGAAATGTAAATATTTGTTTTATATCAAACCACGAGGAGAAAGGAAGAACAATATATATCCAAGCTTTCCTTAGAATCTCTATTAAGAAGTACAAAGGTAAATATTCAATAAATACTTCAATTCGTGATATTGTTATACCATTTATTGAACAAAATTATGATCACAAGGGTATATCTGGACGTATCTCTTATTTATCTATATAAAAATATGTTACATTAACTTGTAGTCGAACTCTTTCTTTTTTGGAGAAATTCAATACTCTGCATTAGAAATAACCATAACCCACTGAGTTTTAAAACTGTGTCCTAAATTTCTTCGTTGAGAAACATTTTTCCCCAAAAGATTGATCTATACCGATTGTAGAGTACACCACAACAAGACTTTCTATTAAAATAAATATAACAACTACTAAATTCTTAGATGACTCTGAAACTCTGCACATGCACAGTTTCTTAACTACATCCTCTTGTAGATTGCCACTCACCGGTTTCGTTTAAATTTAGGTGTGTCTGTCTGTCTGTCGGTATGTCTTTCCCTCGCTCAGTTTGTCATCAGAAGTGTGTGTGTGTGTGATACAAAATGTCTCTAACCACAAACATATTATGGCTCCATGGATGGCTTGGTTGTTATGAACATTGGTTATAAAACAGCAGGACAACCTGTACATTGTTATGTCCTCGTATGGTCCCAACAAAAGTATAGAATTTATTGTCATTGTTACCAGTATATGTGTAGGAATCCAAACATAAGTGGATGTATGTGTGTGCGTATTTATGTTGGGATGTAAGATTGTGTATTTCTAAACATGTTTGTGTGTTAGGTCTAGAAGTGGCATGTTGAACAGGAAACTACTTAAAATATCTTTAAAAATTCTTTGAAGCTAACAATACAGCGGTCGAGTATGAAACATGCAAGGTAAAATATTAGAGTGGTCAATGGGGAAAAATGGCAATACATATTCCCAAAAAAGTCAATATTAAAATAAAAAATACTGAAGAGTTATTAAAAAAAAAATCCACTAACATTAGCACCTTTGTAAACTGTAGTCTATTGACAGGTTAATATATTTCTGATTTGACATAAAATACATTTTGTTCTTGCAAAATAGTCAGGCTTAATCCCAGTTTGTTGTTTTTATAAAAAAACAACTATTTATTAGTGGGGAATGTATGGCATTGTCCGCCGAGGGGTAAGGCAGGGAAGACTATAGTTTCGGATCTCGCCACTGATCCTCATCAGTTCCCTTAGTTTTTTGTTGGGATATTCTCCCCAGAAGCTATCAATAGCTTCTTTACAAAAAACCTTTCAAACCCAAATGTCTCTTGTGACAATTCGAAGTTCTTACGTTACCAGCGATACGACCCCAATGAGAAGTTCGTTTCGTTGGCGCCTGACTTCGTGGTCAACAAGGCATTTACAGACAACTACAATACATTTCCCACTGCTATGTGTCGTCACTTTGTGACGAATGCACATAACGTTGTTGTTGGTATTGCTAGTTAAGGCAATAAACCAAACAGTATGACCGTGCCTCGTCTACAACTTCAGTAGTGTTGGCGGGTTATTTGGGATACCATTTGTATTTTGTTCTTGCAAAATAGTCAGGCTTAATCCCAGTTTGTTGTTTGTTGTAGACGAGGCACGGTCATACTGTTTGGTTTATTGCCTTAACTAGCAATACCAACAACAACGTTATGTGCATTCGTCACAAAGTGACGACACATAGCAGTGGGAAATGTATTGTAGTTGTCTGTAAATGCCTTGTTGACCACGAAGTCAGGCGCCAACGAAACGAACTTCTCATTGGGGTCGTATCGCTGGTAACGTAAGAACTTCGAATTGTCACAAGAGACATTTGGGTTTGAAAGGTTTTTTGTAAAGAAGCTATTGATAGCTTCTGGGGAGAATATCCCAACAAAAAACTAAGGGAACTGATGAGGATCAGTGGCGAGATCCGAAACTATAGTCTTCCCTGCCTTACCCCCCGGCGGACAATGCCATACATTCCCCACTAATAAATAGTTGTTTTTTTATAAAAACAACAAACTGGGATTAAGCCTGACTATTTTGCAAGAACAAAATACAAATGGTATCCCAAATAACCCGCCAACACTAATAAAATACATTTCTTAAAAAATGTGCCGCATGGGCTTTCATGGTATACCACCCTAATGTAATACATACTATTTAACTAAAGATAGCAAAGACTTTCAGTACATCCATACATACATATTTAATATGCTTCATACTCTTGAAATATGTATTTATATCTATGGTATACTTTTGGGCAAATACCTGTTTACTGTTTATTTGCCTAGAAGAATGTTTGTATCCTAGCCATGCTAAAAGTTATACAGGTATGTATGTCTAAAAAGTTTGACAAGATATTTCGGAGTTTTTAGTGTTTAACTTTTAGTTAAATAGACTTTTTGGTTGTATTGTGTTTTTCATTTGTTTCATATTCTATTTGAGATATTTTCTTTTATGAAAAAATTGTCTGCAACATAAAATTTTATGGGACAACACAATGTTAACAGCTTAAAATATAAACTTACCGTTAAATTATTGTTGGCTATATCCATATGCTTAAGGGTTATTAAACCCTCAAAAGCACTTAAATCCAATTCACTTATCACATTTCCTCTCACAGTCAAGGTTACCAGTTCCCGCAATCCTTCAAAGCTATCGTTGCGTATATATTCGACCAAATTATCCGATAAATCTAGAGACTTTAACGATTGTAAATGTCTTAGATTATTGGCTGGTATATCCAGTAATTGATTATTCTTAAATATCAGTATATCCAAGGACATTAAATTGCGAAACGTGTTATCCTCTAGGCTCATAATGTTATTATTGGTCAGATCCAGTTCCACCAGCGATGTCAAGTCATTCATGGCTGTGTGATCGACAATGTCAATGCGATTATAACTTAAATCCAATACCAACAAATTACTCAGACCCTTGAAGGCATCCTTTTGCAGCGAACTCACAGAATTGTGACTGAGATTCAGGGTACGCATCTCCGTTTGATATTCGAAATTTTTCGAGCCCAATGTTTCGATAATGTTACGCGACAAATCCAGTATTTCCAATTTCATATAGAATGGCAGGGTGAATTGAATGTTGCGTATTTTGTTCAGCGTTAAATTGATGTATTTGGTCTCGGGATTCAATTGTATTGGCACATCTTCCAGGGCGGCGTTCACACAGAAGGCCTTACTGTTGGCATCGCCACCCAAACATTGGCATTTTGAGGGACAAAACGCTTGAGTATGTTGGTGATAACTAAGCAGGATTAGAAGTAATGAGCTTAAGTGTAGCCAAGGTATACTAAACAGTGAGGATAAGGTGCTTGTAGATCTGGATGACGACGACGATGATGATGATGTCATACGCCATCTTACATGTGTAATTCGGTGTAAATGTTTCATTGTGGTTGGCGCTGTCGATGCTGCTGTCGTATTCGTTTAATGGTGAAATGTCGTTTGTCGAACGATTTTGTGGTAATGGCAACAGCAGCAGGAGACAAAAGGTAGCGAAACCTTTTGAGAATAGTTAACAACTAATTAAATGCTCGGCGTATGTAGTTGTTGTGAGGCCAAATAGAGAGCAGGCGAATTACACATTCTGTGTGTAAATCAACACATGAGCCTGAAATGGAAAAGACACAAAAAGAGAAATAAAGATTTAATTAAAGAATATAAAAGTGGTTAGACGACGAGCGACTAACGACAATGAATATAAAATGACGATAAAATAGCACACTTAAATGGAACGTCTTTATTTATGCTGTATAAAGTAATATATGTTTTTGTTTAAAGGACTATATTACAAGTTTGCTATATTTAAATGAATTATATAGTACGGAAAAAGGGTCTACATTTATATACGTGGTGTATAAGATAATAACGGTAAAATGTATATGCCAACTGCCATACTTAAATAGTATTTTTTTCTATCCATTGTCATATGTTTACAAGAAGATTTTAAAGAAGATTTTAAAGTTATTCATTACATTTACGAAATCTACGAAAAGTTTATAAGAATTACCAATATTTTGAAATTTAAGGACTAAATTTAATATTTCTAAAATTACTACGTATTTTCCCTTACAAATCTTTAGACTCGATGTGAACAACTTCATGTTATATCCCTGCCATAGCTTGATAGCTTTGAAAATTTAATTTTAAGCAAACATTTTTTTAAACCGAAAAATATTAAAGAAAAAAAATTTGTCTAGGATTTTACTTGACTGTGCGCCCCTCCAATACATGCCCAACATTTTGCTAAGCTCATAGCATTTGCTGGCTTGTGAAAATAAAGTTATTGATTTTTGCCAGCAAAATAATGAACTTCATTGCAGATAAAGTTAAAAGCTAATCAAAAATACATTTAATGTTTTGTTTTTGTTCTTCCAGTTCATTGCCGCCAGCAGCAGGAGCAGCAAAAAGGGGGATTGTTTGTTTTATGAGTTTGTTTGAGCTGCTAGGTCATTGCTGTTGGAAAAACAAAACTGGCTACAAATTAAAACATGTTAAAAAGCAAGTTGAATGTCGAAGGCAAGGTAATAAAAAAGTCTCAGAAAAGTCATTAAAACAACAAAGAAGACATAATTTGCAAAGACATGCAGCCTAAAAATATATATTAAAGAGAGTTTTATGGCATACAGCCTAGAAGTGTGCTTTAAAGTTGAAGACGTTGATGTTGTACGAAAAGTCTGTAAAGGTGAATGACAGGAGGATTTTTTTAAAACACTCGCCTTTTAGTGTGCTTGGACTTTAAACGATAATTGGAAATCCCAAAAGGAATACTTTGTCTTCTACAAAAAAAGAAAAACAATAATGCCTACTTAATATTTTTTTATATATACGTAGACTGTGTTAAGCCATAATACGATTCATTTTAAATTGAATTTCTTAATAAATATTATATGACATTAATATTGCCGATTAACGTGTATTGCTCTTGTTGTATATAATCAATGGAAAACATTTTTTAAGTAGGATTATCAAGTATTTGATAATTGCCTTTAAATTGATATGACGATATTGGAAGTGGGCGTTTTTTACAAAGTACCTTTGTCTAGACATAAATAATTGTAACAATTGGTAATTTTAGAACTGTAAATAACAATTAAAAATACAATAATTTGTTTTGGGAAAAGTGCATATAACAATAAAATCAATCTATTGAGTATTCTTCATGAACTGTATTTGAATTTTCGAACATAGTCGAGGTTTTATTTTATTTCAAGTAAAGTTTAAGTTCAATATGTGAATAATCATTTATTCACTTTACTTACAATATTAAATTCATGTCTCATTTCTAATTGTGTATTACAAAATGTTAAGACTGTTTATTCATTCCTCGCTAAATAAACAAAATGAAAAATTTCAACAATGTCTTTCAAATTTGCTCTATATATCTTCGTATTGCTTTTTCTCGCAGTTCTATTTTTTTGACACAATTTTTAATTATATAAACCCAGTAAGTAGTTATTCATTAATTATTTATATTTTTGTTTGTTTTTACATTATCCACTTTGTCGCTGCACTACACATAACTAAGTGAACTTTTTTACATTTCCTAAAAGTATGCAATGCCAGAAAAAAAAACGGCAGTAACAATGACCTAACTTCCTGCACTCCACCACTACTACACTACCATCATTTGTTATAGTCATTTCTCATCTGTTTGAACTCTTTGGCCAACGAATACTTGAACGTATTTTAACCTTTGTCTCTGTCGTTATTGTTGTTGCTGCTGCTGCATTTTTCTCCATTCACCCTTTGCCTTGCTCCAAAGACAAATATTATTTTATTTTAGCAAACATTTTTTGTTCATTACAAAAAAAACAAGAATCTTGTGCATTCATTCGTCGTTATAGGGTGTCTGTCTCGGCATCTCTCTGTCGTTGGCTTTCGGAACGTCTCCGTTTCTGTGTTTCCTATTTAAACAATGTTTTTACTTAAGTGGATATTTTAGACGCAATGCAAAGTTTTGCCGAACAGAAAAATTGCATCAGAATAGAAAATTGTGCAGTTGTTTTTTTGTTGTTGATTTTTCAATGTTCTTCTTTATGTGTGTGTGTACGAGTGTGTAGTGGTAATTGTCTCGTGCCACTGTTTACGTTTGCCATGAAGTAGAGGGTCTGGGGGCAAAACAAAATACACAGACATTGTACCGCAGATAAAAAAGATTCAATTGCATTTATGCCATTATGGCGTCATAGAGTTGTACGTCCCGCTCGTCTTCATGTTGCCCCTACTGTCCTCTAGTAAAATCGACTGAGTGTCTTTGCCACAATTGTCTGACAGGGGGTCTGTGCCTAGTACGTTTTTTCTGTGTGTGTGTGTGTGTGCTGGGTCTTGCATTAAAACTATTTTAGTACAATTTGCCGAGATTGAAAAAAAGGAAATAAGTAAGACACTTGACTGAATAATTTGGCATTAAAGAAAACATGTCTGTAAAGTTTTTTTTGTCTACCCCCTTGGAGATACTCTCATGGAAGAGAAATTGTGATAATTAAACATGTGTTAAATATAAATAAAAAACGTATAATAAATTGTCATAATTTGTATTCGTTCATTAGATTAGGTCATTGAGAAATGAAGGCAGAAATTTTGTGGAGAATTGGAGTAGTAACAACGTTCTGATTCTATGAACGAAAAAATTTTGAGTATACATGGAGTAAAATCAAAATCTTTAATACCTAAGTATTTGCATTTGAAAACATTATCATCTAAAAATGGCGCCCAATTTAATGCAGATTTATAGATGATAAATTCAACAAATCAATGTGGAATAAATGTCATGAACTTATAGTCTAGCGTAAGATATTAGGGTGGGTGCAAGATTTTAAATATTGTTTAATTGTTAGTTTTTAATCAAAAAGGAAGATATACTTATTAAGGAACCCTTAATTGATTAATATTACAGTTTTCTCCTCTCCGATAATAGTAGTAATATGGAATTCGAATCGAATTCTTTGAGCTTTTTTAAATATTGTTTATATAAGTAATATATTGACTCTTCATTTTCAGTTATTCACTTTTAAATAACCTCAAAGAATTTGTTGAATTCCCATAAAGACATATTAAAGAATTTCCTTTTTCCCCCATTAAGCATCTGTTCTTAATAAACATTTTGGCCTATCTTTAATTTGATTTATTACATTTTTTTCACAAAGACAAAACACAAAAAAAAAAAAAAAAAGAAGATGCCTATAAATTTTACTTCGAATAAATAGAAATAAAAATAAAAAACACTCCAGTAGCAATTCATTTTCGTTTTGATGATATTTTATCTCCATATCTCAATGCTTATCCCCAAAAGTTCAACAGCTGTGGCACTAAAGCAATATTTATACTGCAATGGTAGTTCCATGGTATAAAAACAATCACAAAAAAGGAAAAAATAAAAACAACACAACAATAAGTAGCATTGGAAGTAGTATCTGAAGAAATTCCAAAATTGCCACATAGTCCATCACCCATACACATCCACACACACATACACTCAAAAACAGTTTGCATGTTTATGGAAATTTCAGCAGTTTTCCAATGAAATGCTGTCGCACGATCTCCAATATCAATAACCAAACTGGTGGGCGTTGATATTTATTTTTTTTGGCCTGACAATGCTATGAAGGGTATGATAAAATGTTTTTTAAGATGTCATATCATAAACGAATAGAATGGACCAAAAAAATATATATTTATTCACAAAATTTATTAACGAACTGTCGTCGACATCAAATGGGTTCTCTCAATCTCACGCCTTAAAAGTTTATGTGTAACATATGACTTAATTAATGAATGTGTAAATATTTTAAATGCCAATTAATAAATTTTACCAAATTATTGTGTTTAATGTTCTTGTTATGCTGCTCACAATGGCGGAGGTGTTTTTTATGCACATACATATAACCGATTTCAATTTATGATTCATAAATTATGTTTTAACATATTACCAAAATTGCTTCTTGTCAAAATTTCATTTCTAAGAATTTGCTTATCTCCCCATCTCTTTCTCGTATGTAGTTTTTTGATGCTGGGAAATTTATTGCCATTTTGAAAATATGCCAAGCATGTGCTGCAGACAAAATAACAACTTCTTGGCAGAATTCTATTTTTTTGGGGGTGGGGGTTTTGGACTTGGCTCATTTCCTTAAGGCAGCTTAGGTTATGTTTGCATGGCATCGAAATTGGAAATTAGACAAGACAGAAATGCAGTTAAGTAATGCAGCAGCTGTTCTTCAAGAGCAAACGGCAACGACCTTGATAAGGCTGGAAAATTGGCAAATAAATATGTGTATCAAAAAAAAAGGTTGATTTTAAAATTTAAGAAAGGTTATAAGTTTTGTTTTTAAAAACTTTTTAAATGTCTGGTGACCATATAATGCCGAATATGCAAATATGGATTTTTATCGACTTAGAATTTCAAGGCTTTGGCCTAAAGGCCACCATTAGTGGAGACTTTTTTTGTTTTCAATACTTTAAAGAATATCCTTATGCTAT